ATACAACATACAATAATAAGCCGACTAGATTCATTCAATGAGTTTCTTTGCTTGAAAGAATCTGCGGAGGTAGAATATCTGCCAGGCAGCCAGGAACAGGAGACACAGCATCGAGAAAACTCCGAAGTAGAGGACGCGGGAGTTGGTGGACTCTGAAACCAGAGGAAGGACTGAGCTACAGTCACAAGACGTGCAACCCACCATTGGTGTCTCTCATCTCTTCCTCCCGAGCCCTCATGTAGGCAAAGTCATTGACGATAGACTCAGCGAGGTCCTCGAGTCTCCTCAGCTCCAGTTCCATTGGCTTCAGTTTCTCAGCCTTGGCCAGCTGTGAGGTGGAGATAGAGTGGCTGGGGGAGCCTCAGAACTAGCAAACTCACATCATCGTAATTCTTGGCCTCCACTCCATGTTTCAGCTGCAGGTGGACCTCTCTCTCCTGCTCACCGCCATGACCTGATCATACACTACAGCATGCCGTCTGGGTCTGAGTCTCCACTAACCTGTGACAACTGAGTAGAAGCAGACCTCGAACATATCATACTCTTCAGTTGTGAAGGCAAATCTCCCTTTGGTGGCAGACTCTTTCCTGAACAGAGTGTGACCTTTAGAGTCAGCAACCTGAAGTGGGCATTATTTGGAAAACCAATTCTGAGACGCAAGTGGATAGCACTGCGGCCTTCTGGCTGGCGCACTACATACCACAACGTCTGTTCGTTGTCCTGCGAGCTCTGAGAGCCTGTATTCGCCCACCACCAGCACGTCTTTATGGACCTCCTCTTTCACGCATTTTCTTATCTCCGGTTCAAGTCTGAAGGAAATTGCGAGGCTTCCAGCGACCAGAGACAGAAGGTAAGCGACTATTAGTGTCCTCTTCATCAGTCCAGTGTTGCTTTTGGCTAGCCACTGTGTTCTGCGGTGAAGACACACGTGCGCAATTTCGACATGCAGTGCGCATCAAATAGAGAAGATGCCACGTTGACTTTCGGCGCTCGTGAACTGAACGAGAACAGCAGCTATGGCCAAAGGAAAAGCAAGGTGCAGTTTGTACTGCTTCATATTAGCCGTTCTGTACTGTTGGTGTTCACAGAATGATCGTGGCGAGACTAGTGAGTGCAGCGGGCACCGGATTCTTCTACACCGTCAGGAAACCGAGACTGAAGGAGAGAATGACACTCCGCAAGTATGACCCTGTCGTAAGACAACACGTACTGTTCGTGGAACAGAAGAAGAAATAGTTTCAATCACTCCTGACATTGAGATTTCACCAAACACTTCATCATATCAACTATAATGTCTGTTAAGAGTGTGAGGAGGACCGTGAGGACCCTGCCAGCTCACTCCCCTTGTCCCCCTGCCTCTCCTGCCCCTTCAGGTTCTGCTCTGAGTCCACCACAACACTCATCTTTGCCTGAGGCCCAGCTGCCCACTCCACTCCCTGCACACACAGGCACTACTATAACATATAGAGGAGAGAGCAGTATGTATGTGTCCACACCTCCTGGTCTAGGAGAGAGGCACTGGTGTGTAGGCTGTAGCTGCCACTGTGGGGTAGTGTTATGAGAAACGGAGCCAGGAAGTAGTCATTGGCAACAGGCTCCACCCTCTCCAGGCTGGGCAGCTCTCCTCCCTAGGAAGTATATATATACAAGACTGGAACACTAATGGAGGGAGGTAAAAGGTCAGAACAAGCACAGAGAGTTAAGGGGGACATTAGTGATGGAATATCCACTGCAGAAAACGGCAGAACAGATAATTAACTGCAGACAGGTGCAGAATGTCCCCATATGTAGAGCTCACTTTGTGTTCCGATGAGAAAGACTTGTCCAATGTTATCTTTACCCTCACACACACTGCTGTGGGGGTCCTGTGAACTGGAGGAGCGGGGGGAGGGAGATGAAGAGCGAACGTTAGAGGACTCACCTTTCTTCCCCGAGTGCTGGACAACTCCCTCCACCTTGAGAGAGAGGTGAGAGTGGAGGGGGACCTGCACTGCCTGGCCAGGAGGAGGCAGCGGTGGGGAAAATGCCAGCTGCACAATACAATCTCAGGTACACACAGAGAGAGGGGGAATGAGAGGCATGGGACCTGAACAGTGGTGTTCTGTGAGCTGGTGAAGAAATAGGGAGGCAGCTTCAGCGGCACTTGCAGCAGTTTCTGAGAGCACTCGCTGAGGACTCGAGCATGCTGTGGAAGGAGAGGTAACCTGAGACTGGATATGAGAAAGAACTCACCTCTTCTCCGACAGGCTGGGACTGGAGAGACGGAGCCAGAGACTGGGTGTGGTCCAGCAGGGCTCTGCAGGTCTGAGCAAGAACCTCTCCAGAGGAGAAGTGGCTCAGCTGACTGACTGTCGGAGCTGCAGCAGCAGATGACGACACTGGTGTACCTACTTTCCCTGGACTACATGAGGCAGAACTCATTATCTGACTAATGTTGGGAGTAAACATACTTGACGAGAGATTTCCTTGAGAGAACCAACGAAGAGATGATGTTCACCATCAGTAGACACGACTGTCGCAGACTGGGGGGAGCTGGTTAACGAGTCCACAACAGGTTTTGATCAGGTTTGACTGGTGTGCAAGTGCTGTGAGGATACAGAGATATGTGGGAGAGGCTGTAGCTGTCTGCATCAAAGAGAGAGGAATGGAGTCCAGACAGCTCCTCCGCCAGGGATGTGAACCTAGACACACAGAATTGGAACTGCATCGGGACATGATGACATGATTAGTCAGGGGCTCACTTTCTGGGAGACAGAGGAGGAGGGAGAGGAAGGTAAGAGTGAGGCAGACACACAGGACGTCAGGAGCTGGTGGTGGGCTCTCATTAGAGAAGAAAGAGAGGTGAGGTAACGCAGCGGGAACGATGAAGGAGGGCACGATGCCTGTGGCAAAAAAATAGTTCATTTATGCTTTGAACGTGTCATAATACAACCTAAAAAAATTAGGACTGAAATCCATTGAAATCACTATATTATATTTGCTAAAAAATACTTGCAATTAGTTGCACCTTGACGAACATGGCTGCCTTGGACACCACAGCAGCTGCGTTACCGAGGGCGGGTATGAGGTGTGAGGAGGGGGAAGAGGGGGAGAGGAGAAGTTGGGATGAGGAGAAGAGGTGGAGAGCGGAGAGCCAATGGCGGAACCTGGCTACAGTCACTGACTGTGACAGTCTATGGTACACCGGTCCTGCCAGCTCATGGTAACCCTGCGAGCATATTGAGAGAGAAGTGGGGGTTGAAATTCCAAAGATTCCATAATGCTGTCAGTTTTGTGTGCATGTATGTGTGTGTGTGGGGGGGGACCTGCCTTTGCAGAGGCCCTGCGAGCCAGGCGGTAGGCGAGCCACAAGGCGTGGGGACTGTGGAGGGCCCAGACCTGCTCCAGCAGGGAAGGGAGAACTGAGGAGTGGAACGACTGTCTCTGAGGACTGCTCCACTCTCCTCTGTGGACCTCCTGCAATACCGCAGAGAATGGCAGCTGCAGGGAGAGAGAGAGATGCAGAAATTCAGACACAATGAGGTGTAATATGCTTGAAAGACAGACCAGGAGGTGTGGTAGCTGGTCGGGGTGGTGAGTGAGGTAGTGGGTAAGAGACGAGGCCACCTCACTCCACGAGGTTTTGGCAGTTGCTCCAACTAACACCAGACAATCACACACCATCTTCAGCTGTCGACCTGTGAGAGCAGAGAAACCTCGCCAGTAGTGCAGTGAGTGAGGGGGAGGGAGGAGTAACCAGAAAACTGGGGGAGGAAGGAGAGGAGAGTGTCCAGAGCAGTCTTGCTGGCTGACCCGCTCACTGAGCTCAGCTTCATGAGAGCACACAGGAGGCAACTCAGACCCAGACTGTTGGCCTCTGAGGAGAAGTCTCCCACCAGCAGAGCCTCGATCACCTGATCCGTTAGCTCTGTCACATGACTTGACGATGACACACCATTTGCTGTTGCCATGGCAATGTTAGTGATGGTTACGAGGACTAATGCGGCAGTATTAGTATGAGTGGAGTACTGGAGAGAGCCTATGGCATCTGGAGAAGCAACACACAATGCAACACATTACTGGGAAACAAAATGTGAACCGTCGAAATTACATAACGAATCACAATAATGGACAGTGCTGTCCACTACAATCACGAAAACAAGGTGGGCATGCTTTGCCTGCTAACAAGTCACACGTACCGGGGAGTGACGTCATGTGCTGGACTGCCAGAGAGCGAGACAGTCTGAGAAGAGTCCTCAGCCCTGTCTGCCGTTCTCTCTCACTCACCGCCTCAACCACACACTCCTCCACTGCCTGTATCAGCTCAGCAGTCAGAACTGAGTGCTCCATACCATGCAGTGGAGTCTCACCTGGACCATGTCACATGACCACATGTGAGGACTGGCAGCTGCTAGGGACTCCAGCTCCTTCAGAGCAAACAGCCTCACTCGACCACGTGCATCGCTTCGAGCGTAGCTGAGGAGGAGCCACACCTGGTGAGGAGATGAGGGGAGTAGGAGGGGAGGGTGTCACAGAATTAAAGGACTAACATACCTGGTCTGGAATGTGTATCTTGGTTGCCATGGCGAGAGTAGTGAGGGTGTGAAGGGTGGAAGTGACGAGGGAGAAGGCAGGGTATGTCGGCAGAAGTTTCACACACAGTTCTCTCACCTGTGGGACGGCGGGTAAATCATTCTCATCCTCTATAACACTGCCTGAAATACCTGATTGGCAGTGGCTAAGTTGTGGTGCATCTCACTGAGGATGGGAACTAGTCGCAACTTCATCTCCACTGGCACTGCCTGACCTGCAGGGGAACACGAAGTAAGGGGTGTGGCCAACACCACAGAGGACGACGACCTTGTACAGTGGAGGAAATCTTCTCACAGACTCCAGCTGCAAACGTGGCTGAGTGACGGGCAAGGCAACTGGTGGCAAATATGGCGGCTTCCACCTCCACCTGATGGTGTGAGTCCAGACCATGATGGATACTGGGGCAGAGGAGAGCAACGTAACTGACGCCAGAGGTGGGGGAAGAGGGATTGGTTACCTGTGGTGGACGTTCTTCCTCTCTGCAACGATGCTAGCTATACTACCAAACACCCTACAGTAAAGACAATGGCAGAATGGGGATTTTGCATAGTGAACCGATTCAGTTGAGAATTCTCTTTTTCACTCTACAGGACACTGACCTGAGAGCGAGGGCCCGTGCCACAGGGTCGTTGCTATGGGTGACGAGAGAGAGCCGTCTCACCAGCTCCTCTGGACTGGAGACCTTCCCCAGGTGTTTGTAGGCCAGCTGGAACACCTTGAGGATGTGGAGTCGAAGGAGGTTGGCTGTGGCCTGAGCCGAAAACACGTCAGCCAGCTTCAGGAGAGCCGTGCTCGTCATGACTGGGAACGGAAACTTGTCCATAAACACAGGACACTTGACAATCGCCTCGCACTGCTCCCCCACAGCGCTGCTACGGAGACCTGCACCGACACTGAGGGTTCTTGAAGCTCTGGGAAACATGCCAGTACCTTTGTCCACCTCCATTAGGGCCGAGTTGGCCTCCTGGCGAATATCATTAGTTACTGCTGCTTCGCCCATCTCCGCGAAGCTAAGCTACAGCCGTGCTGCCCGTAGGTGACCACGAGGGTGTATTCTAAATAATGCCCATCATCTTTTTCTAAATAATGCCCACCATCGTAACCCAGGCAAGTTTTCTGTCGTGTTGGTAGATTAATGTCTCAGAGATTGGACTTTCCTACCTCCTCCTCAGATCCAGAGCCTAGAGCAGCAGCTGCAGCACTGCCAGCAAAGGCAGAGCAACGTTCAGCGCAGCCTCAGGCACTGCACCAACGACAACAGGTGACTAGTATCTCAGGTCCTAGTGTTAGAGCTACTGCTGCTACTCCTCAGAGAGAGGTTGGAGCGTGAGGTGAGAGAGGTGAGGGAGGAGGTGGAGATAGTGGAACAAGAGCTGGTGTCTCTCAGAAAGGAGAACAAGAGGACTCTGTATGTGTCAGTCCTCATCTTCTCTTTGTTTGCAGGCCTCTACTACCTCTTCACCTCCTCAAACTGGCCACTAGCCTCTCATTAAAGCCTCTTATATTAGCCAGTGGAGCACAGCAAGCCTTGCAGTAAATCCTTTCTCAGCAACATTCATAATATCAGATTTTTACCATTGACAGAAGAGAGATGTACACGTTTATATGCTTGCATCAAAAGAGCGTAACACTGTAACGAAACCTGTGTGACTTATGATAACACGAGCTATGACATGAACTACAGATTATACATTGGTCATAATAAACATGAATTAGCTCTCGGTCACTGGCTACAGTCCAAGCAAGAGGACACGAGGGTCCTCGACTGCCTGCTTGATCTTCTTCAGGAATAGGACGGCTTCTCTCCCGTCGATGAGGCGGTGGTCATATGTGAGGGCCACGTACATCATTGGTCTCACCTCCACCTGAGGTTGGAGGGAGACAGACAGCACAGTAGGGGTGAAGGCAAACATACGATGTACAACTGTCTCATGTGTATGGGTGTGAAGGTCCAGGTCCACAAAGTCCAGTGGACATACAGAGCCAGTTGAATGAGGTCATTTACACTGTGCATGTTGGCCTACATTAGGTGTGGAAGAGAGGTACAGACCTTTCCCTGTATGGCGACAGGTCGGTCAACAGTGGCGTGCATGCCAAGGATGGCAGACTGAGGCGGGTTGATGATGGGGGTTCCAAACACAGACCCAAACACTCCTCCATTGGAGATGGTGAATGTCCCTCCATCCATGTCCTCAATCGCCAGAGTCCCATCACGAGCCTGCACCAAAGGAGGTAGCTGGAACAACACTGAATACCCTCAACAGAAGGGAGTACACAGGAAGTGAAAGTGTAGTACTCATTTCAAACTGAAAGTTACAAATTCAGCTTTGAGTAAGACACACCATTGGGGAAACCCAAAGTGTCTTTATTCAGAAGTAAGCATGGGGCAGAACCAAGTGTTTCTTCTTAGAATTTCTGAGGTTTCCTGAAATGAAAACTCTACAAGAGAAAGTGCAGATTCACCTTCTGTCCCAGTTGGGCTGTGGTCTTCTCAATGTCTGCATAGTTCATGGTCTCAACATTCCTCAGAACTGGTACCACCAGACCCTGGGGTTAGAGGTTAATGAGGAGCCACACCCACACCCCACTAGTTTAACTCACCTTTGGTGTTGCCACGGCGATGCTGATGTCAACATAGTCTCTATAAATAATCTCAGTTCCATCAATCACTGAGGGGTGGGGTGGCAATAATTTGTCATATGGTTGGTTGCTATACCAACCTACCAGCATTAACAACAGGCTGATGGAGGAGGGCGTGGCAGGTGGCCTTGACAAAGGGAGACATGAAGCCTAACTTGACCCCATGTTTCTCTTGAAAGTCTTCCTTCCAATTCCGCCTCGTCTCTATGATATTGCTGGGATGGTGAGACACAGAGAGAAGGCAAATCTGCATCGAGAATTGTCCATTCTCTTATCAGTAGAGCACTTTCAACAGGTTTTAGTTGCAGTACACATGCATTAGCACATTTCCAATACAAAAACAGTACACTGTACTAATGGTTGTACATACCTCATGTCCACTTCGTTGAAAGTGGTGAGCATTGCGTTAGTGTTCTGAGCATCTTTGAGCCTCTCGGCAATCCTCTGCCGCATTCTGTTCATCTTCACCTGGACAGCAGTCTCACTGGTGGCTGATTAGATCATAATGATAGGGACTTACTCTCTTCTCGCCCCTGGAGACTCCGCCCAGGGATGGGGCAGTCGATGGAAGAGGAGGAGGAGGAGGAGAGGTGGACATTGGCGCAACTGCGGTAAGAGAAACATGTGTGAAATTGACCATTGTTTACAACATAAGATGCACACCAGGTAGGGGAGGGGGGAGGGGAGGAGAGGAGGGGATTGGCGAGGGAGTGGGTGTGGCTTCGGGAGGAGGGGGTGTGGCTTCCTGTGTGGCAGGCTCAGTAGTAGTTGGAGTTGCTCCTGTGTCAGGACCTGGACCCCCCAGACACCACATGCTCATCACAAGTTGAGGCTAACTCACAGGAATGACAATCTTCTAGTAAAACTAGAGTACAACTGCCAACAGAGTGTGTATAGAGAGATCTGATAAGGTTTACAGACCTGAGACTCTGATCCTGGCCAGATCCATGCCAGCTGTGACTATGTCTCCATCAGCCACCAGCAGCTCCTCCAGAACACCACTCACTGGGGCCGGCACCTGGAGAGCAGTCTGTGCAGGCAGAGGGGGAAATGGAGGAGTACAAACAGAGGACTTCAGGTAACATACCTTGTCAGTCTCAATCTCAGCAATGACTTCATCTTCTTCCACATAGTCCCCCACAGCTAAGGGGAGGAGAAGAGGGATGAAAACGTTGTGGGAGTTCCGTGAAAAGAGGCTTGGTTCACTGCTGAGGCACTAAGTGGCCTTTGGGAAAATGGACACATTAAGTGCCTCCCTTCTCTATAAGTCAGCTTTGGCTGAGGTACTACCATTCCTTGGCTGAGTATGGCACAGGACACCTAGACCACGACAGGGACAGGAGAGAGTGTGTGACACTAGGTTTCAGTTGGTGACACATATCATGTTCGTAGGCAGACTGGGTTGCTAGGGAGAGCACACCCCACGCACTACCTGGCACGGGCACAGGGCCAAGTAGTTGGAAACTCACATTTCTCCCACCGTACGTCTCCTTCGCTGACCGACTCAGCAAAGGGAGGAGCAGCCACAGTCTTCATCTCCTCCAGTCTCCCTCCTGAGGAGGTGAGGAGACGTCGCCAGCCCATGGCAGGGAACCTAGAGGAGGAGGGGACTGTCTCATCTGTCACCGACATTCCTGGGAAAATCTCATCTGCCCCTCAAACTCACATTATGCACTCCCCATGCCTAATATAGACAATCAAAGTCAGTGGTATGCGATACTCTTCCTTCATTACCAATACATCTAAGGTTCAGCCAAGGTCTCCATATCTCCAGACATTACGCTATGGGACATTCCTATCATACCAACCTCAGAGCCAGCTCATTCGACACAACCTCTCTCAGTCACACACACTCACTATAAAAAGGGTAGAAACCATAACGTTTCTTTGTAGTCCTGCCCTAATAATATTACTACCATTAGGTAGTAGGAACACACTCACCATGTAGGTCTGGGTCTTGGTGGGGAGAACACACCAGCAACAGAGGGTGGGGGACATGCTGGGAGAAATACAAGATATTAGTGAGAGAGATTAGAGTGACAGACAAGTGGCTCCAGCACAGGCAGGGCATTTGGCAAACGTCCAACTGCTCACTCTAATTAATGCCCACCACACTCTAGTCTTACCTCCAAGTTTCTGGAGAGGCCTGGTCGCTCCAAGTACTCTGCTGCAGTTGTATCTACTGTGTGTCCTGGCGGTGTGGACCTGAGGTCAAGGGAAGGAACTTCCTCAACCAGCACTGGTCCAGGCGGCCAAACAATATCGTAAATGGAAGCGTACCCTGCAGAGAAGCCTCCACGTCTGTCTTAGTCTCAGTGCAGACATCTCTAGCTCTTCTCCCTAACTACACCGTACGTCCAGCAGTCGGCGAATGGAGGTTTTCTAGTCCTTCGACCGACGGTTTCAATCCACGCCTCTCCTGCCGCGGTCGATCTACGCATGCGCAGTAAGAGCGAGCGAGCTCTAGAGAGCTGCTAATAACTGCGGTTTGGATCAATATTCGCTATCTGAGCAGCACCTCTTAGGAGTATGTCTGCTCTCTGTTATTCGCTAGCATTTGCACTTATTTTCCTACAAGCAGCCGAGGCCGTGATACCACCAAAATGTCAGTCGGAGAACGGAGAAACAGTGTGCGTCGTTACCTCTTCTCCGCAGCGGGTGCTCCTCATGCATGACCGCCTGCTCGTGGGAGCAATCGACAGCATCTACTCCTTCTCTCCGGACTTGAAGGTGTTAGATATCGGAGACATGAGTCCGTCCGACGTCAGGAGGAATCAATGCGTTTACGTCGAGGCGCATCAACCGGCGCTCTGCAAGAACTTCGTTCGCGTCGTGGAGCAGGTGAACGCGTCGGCGCTCCTCGTGTGCGGCACTAACGCCGTGTTTCCGAAATGTCGATTCGTTCAGCTGGACAACCTGTCAGCTTGGGAGTACATGACGGCCGAAAGTAGAAAAGATGTCGGATTTAGTCCGCATACGGACGATGCGAACGTCGCGGTGTTGGCCGACAACGGCGCATTCTTCACCGCGACGTTTTTCAACTTCCGACAGACCCAACAGACGATCGGCTTGTCCCCCTCTCTGCTGGAGGGAGAGACACGGTTGACAGTGCAAACTCCGAGCCAAAGTCCCAACTGGGTCAATGACCCTGTAGTCTTCGTGTCGGCCTACGACGTCGGCAAACATGTCTACTCCTTCGCTAGAGAGCGCGCCTACGAGGCTGGCAGCGGAGTCGAGTTCTCCAGAGCCATCAGAATCTGCAAGAACGACACCGGATTCCTCCGCTTCTCCGGCGACAGCACTCGTACCTTCCGCACCTACCAAAAGGCTCGCCTTCGCTGCACATCGACCGGTCAGGACGGCTCCATTCCTTACGACTATGATCGACTTCGGGCTACGTTTCTGCACCGTCCCAGCGATGGCGGAGACGCAGTTCTCTATGCAACGTTTTCCTCGGCCTTGAACGGACCAGAAGGTGCAGCATTGTGCAAATTCAACTTTGCAGAGCTGGAGTCTGCATTGGATAGTGGAAAGTACTGGGTTCAAGAGGGTGAAGAGTGGAGTGAGCAAGATGGGGGTTCCTTCGTCTGTCCAGGTAATGAGGGGGGCTCACAGCGGACAGATGCACAGGCCAACACATACCAACTGGTGTCTGAGGTGGTAGCAGCCACTGAGCCTCAGCCACTGATGACAGTGCTGGGCGACGAAATCCTGTTCCTAGTAGCGGATGTCCTGGACTACGGAGGAAGTGAAATGGAGGTGGTGTTTGCTGCTCTCGGGAGTGGGGAAATAGTCCAGGTGGCCTGGCATCAGGGGTCCATGTACAGGAAGACTATCAAGACCCTCGGCAGCTCTGTGACTAATATGGTGCTTCATAAAGACAGTCTGACACAGGAGAGGCGTGTGCTCCTCACAACCAATGATGCAGTGCAGTCAGTGACGCTCGGAAAATGCAGCAAATACGACACTTGTTTCAAGTGCTTCGACTCTCGCGATCCATACTGTGGCTGGAGCGAGGCATCTAGGAAATGTGTCAATAAACTAACCTCAACTTCTTTCCTGGACTCCCTAACTAGCAATGAGGAGACGGTCAATCGTGTGTGTGGACAACGTTTACCTACGCCACCTCCACCCTTGCCAGCCAATCCCTCTTCCTGCCCCTTTAATCCAGACTCGTCAGAACCTCCTACCAGCACTGCCTCATCAACCACAGCCTCTACAAGTACCTCATCGAACGGCGGCAGTTCCACAGTCCTCACTCCGGCTGGTCTGGAGAAGTCGGCAGAGGAAGGAGGAGAGAGTGCAGGTCTTCTGGCAGGAGCCACAGTGGGAGGCTTCCTGTTTGGCATCCCAGTGGGTCTGGTAGTCTGCTACCTGTTCTTCGCAGTGTTCCTCAAGAAAGGCAGCAAGAACCAGGAGCATTCCGAGAACTCCAGAGGACCAGTTCACATGAACCACAGTCAGCGTGAGAGGAACGACAAACAGCCGCTACACAACGGTGCTCGCTCCTTGGAGCAGATTGTACACAGAAACCCTACGTCCAGCAAGAATGTCAATCTACAGGAGAATCACTCACTGGAAGAGGATGATGTGCTTACTCCGCTGCCTTTCAGTAAAGGAAGCAGCCACATCCAGCACACAGTCTTCCCCCAGCCACCCAGGTACCAAGACACTCTTGCCAGCAGCAAGTGTAGTGAGAAAGATGCCACCATCTCTTCCCCGGTCTAACTCCTCGCTCCCTCCCTCCTTGTGTCACAGGGTTTCCTCACTCCTGTGTGTGTAATACTGTACACACTGTTTTGTAATAGCGTTTTTGAATTGGCCACTCATTTCACATCCTTAATGGTATTTTTTATACAAAGTTGTGACATAACGAGATGATTTAAAACGTACAGAGAAAAGTGATTACTAGAGTATGTGCACATAATTATTATTACAAACACTTGGCAACTGCAGTGACCTTTTAATCAGTAGCATACCACTCAGATCAGCTGCGATTCCTTGGTGTGTGGCACACTAGAGGAAAAGTCAAGTTTGCTATTCTGGAGAGTTGATTACAGGGGCTAACTCACATGACTTCCTTGCTAGCGAGTGTCCAACCATCCCAATCCACTAGAGAGCTGAGGTCCACTGGACTGGTCTCGTTACAAGACTCAAGAAATTTCAACACATGCTTCAAGTTTAGTTTATGTTGCTCGTCTCCATAATCGTTGTATAGTTCTGGGCAGCCTTTCCGGAAATCTCTCTCTTCCACCTCTCCCCTGGCCTCGTTCCCTCCCTGGACTCCGTCCTCACCACCTCCACCCCCCGACCCCGCGTGATCGGTGTTGCCTCCGCTGGGTGGGGCAAGTTGCTCCAAGGCCACACCCTCCAGCGAGGACTGGGTGCTGGCAGCCTCCTCGGGAATGGAGGATGAGAGGGAGAGCTGGGAGAGGTCTGCATGGGTCTGGTAGCTGAGGGAGGGGTCTGTCTTGGAGTGGGGCAGCGGGGCTGCTGGGAGCTCCCCCACTGTAGGAGGGGCATAATCTGACAGTCGGGATTCACTCTTCGGAGGACCGTCTCTGGCAGAGCTGATGACTGGTTGATCATTCCCCTCCTCTCTGATCGTCGTCTCCCTCACTCCGTCCTGGTCTGCCTTCCTCGGAGATCCGCCCTCCTTCTCCGACTTGGCTGGCTTCTTCCCAAACAGTCCGCGACCCTCTTTCCCCGGTTTCACAACCTGTTCCTTCCTCAGTCCTTTCAAGGCCTCTGCAGTGATCTCGGGGGCCGTGACATTCCTTTGTCTCTTCTTCTTCCCAGCTGGTTTCATCCTCTTCAGGGTGTTCTTCAGCCCGCCTCCAGACCCCGCCCCACCCTTTGTCGCCTTGTCTCCCCCCTGCTCTCGCAGCAGCGACAACTTTGCCAGGGAATCAATCAGCTCACCCTCATGTCGCAGTTTCTTCTGCACCGCTATCAACTGGAAATATACAACACCCCTGATACACTACTGTTGTCAGGTTGCAAGGGGCTAGGGCTTTCGCTAAAAGTGAGTACCAAAACACAACTGCACAGCATGCTACATGTAATTATTGTTCAGCGTACATTTGTGTTCTATTAACGTTGTGTACTCATAATTTGAGTATAACACCGTTTTGATCATTATCTTACTCCATCGAGCCTTAACAAAAGTGAGATAGTTATTACATCACTGAAACATACACTCTCCAAAGTCTCGCAGGCCTGGCTGATGCTGCCCATGTACTCCAGAGTGTGAGCCATGCTCTCAAGAGCCAGAGCCTCTCCGTGCAGGTTCCCAGCCTGCTGCATGGCGTGCAGCTGCTGTAGGGAGGAGGTGGAGGAGGAGAGAATGAGATCTCTGAAATGTGCACCATTTACTATCATAACTGAATTCCTTGCATGCTGAGAGCTGACTGGATATGAGATGAGCTCACCTTCTCCTGGTTGACCAGGGCCTCCTCCATGTTGGAGAGCATCTCGTGAGTGGTGCCCATGTTGGCATGGACCACACCCTCCCCGAGTCTGTCCTCCATCTCCGAGGCCAGCATCAGACTCTGAACACGGGAATCAGACGAGTGTGGGCGTGGCAAGAGAGAGAAAAAGAGGAAATACGTACTCTGTTATAGCACTCCAAGGCTTTCTCCGGCTGAACGATGGCCTTGAGGCAGTTCCCAATGCTGCAGTAGGACCTGGCCTCCGCTGCCTTGTCCACCACATCCAGTGCAATCCTCAGTCGCTGCTCATAGTGATCTATCGCTTTGTCTGTGTCCTTCAACAGCTCATAGATGTAGCCAAGACTGGCGTGAGCCTGAGCCTCTGCCATCCTGCAATACATGAAGGTATTAGACATGCACATCACGATACATAATTATGGAGTGAGATATGGTTCACTGGGCTCAGCCTATAGCCTGCATCTGTCACTAGTAACTGGATACCAAACAGTGTGTCCGGCTGGACAGGTTCAACAATTCACAGGCCAGAGGGAGAAACTGATCACAGAGCTCCACTACTGACACAAAGGAAACAGTGGGAGGGGCTGCTGGTCCTCTCCCACCACTGACAGAGTGAAATACTACACTCCACAGCCCCCAATCCAGGAGGGAACTCTCACAGTATCATATCCCCTCCATTGGGGAGACTGTGGTGTGGTGGGTCGGAACGAGTCTCTCTTGCTGTATTTGCACACAGAGAGAGACCCAGCGCCTGTCCTAGCACTTAGCACTGAATACAGGCACAAGTTGGCAGCTCAAAAAACACCCAAACAATAGTTTCACACTGACTGAGAGCACACACACACTGAGGCCCTGTTTCCCGATTCCTCACCTGCTCCCCGTCTCCTTCACGTAGCTCAGGTGCCTCTCGAAGTATGCGGCGCCCTTCTCCAGGTGGTCCCTAACCTTGGGCGAGTCTTCCTCCTCCCTCTCCTCCTTCTGCGAGAGCTCCAGCCGTGCCAGAGTCAGCTCCAGGTCCCCCAGGTTGTGGTAGGCCTTGGACCGCGAGCGGGAGTCCTCCAGCTTCTCGCAGATGTCCAGGTAGCGCTCGTAGCAAAGCTTGGCTCTCTGGAGGTAGCCGGTCTTGCGGTGCGCTATCCCCATGTTGCAGTAGGCCTGCGCCTGGCTCCGCTCGTCCCCCAGCTCGTAGCAGATGGCCAAGTCGTGCATGTGGCACAGCGCTGCCTTTTCGTAGTCTCCGACGTAGAAGTGAGCGTTACCGAGCAGACTCCAAAGGACGCTCCGGAGCTGCAGGTCCTCCGTCCCATGCTCAAGCGCAGCCTCCAGCAGCGGGATCGCCTGCCTGTGCTCGCCTTGCTTCGTCAGACACTCTCCCTCGATGGCTAGCTCCTGACAGGTGGGGGCCTCGCGCACCCCGCCCGCCTCGCTGTCAGTAAACGACACGAGCGAGATGCCATCTCCGGTCAAGTCGCGCGGGTCCACACCCTCCAGCAGGAACGTCAGCGAAGTCTTTGTGACGCTCGTCTTGGAGTGCTCCACCTCGCTGAAATCCTCCACGTCGCTCATCCTCTCGCCTGGGCTGGCTTTAGCTGAACTTTTTACGCCGGAGTTCCGTAATAGTAGGCGTAATAGTAGGCGTAATAGTAGGCGCGTACTCTACGATACACACTCACCCACGCATCTGTACATAACAACAAAGTTCAGTCATAAAGATATTCACTGGTCAAACGGATCGGATTCCTGACTGGCTGTGCTGTGGAACACGTCGCCCAGCATGTGCCTGGGGATCTCAGAGCCTCGTATCTTTAGAGTGTAGCAGGCAGTTTCGATCTTCCCCACACTCGATCGCAGCGTGCGAAGTTTGTGTAAGATTTCCTTGGAGATGGGTGGAAGGCTCTGGAACCCATGGTAGATGGAGGAAATGAAGGGCAGCAGTTGAAACGGAACCCTTTGCTGTCCTGCTCCGACTGCCGTGATACACATTCGCATCAGTTCCCCAGTCAAGTCTGCAATACCTAGCACATAGTTGAGTCGACTGAGTGGTACACACACAGCCTCCCCATCTCCAGACCCCTCATCCGCACATGAGAACTCCAGCCAGTGGCACACCTCTTCGTGGCTCACCAACCCACCCTGTCGCAAGAACACGTAGTAAGCCAGAGCCTCCACGAACTCCTGAAGGCCGGGGGAGAAGGCTGAGAGGTGGAGCCAGGGGTCCAGACCCGTCAGCTCCCTGGCTGTGGACTGCAGGAACTGCCCCACCTCCTGAAGTTTCCCCTCGGCCTCATCCAGTCTCTCTTCTCTCTCGCTGCCTCCTCTATCGAGGATGGCTGCTCGGTGGAGCAAGAAGATGGCTCTCTTGCTGTGGATGGTGGTGTCTCGACTCAGTTTCACCAGTCGCTCATGTCGGTCGTGACGACGTTCCAGCTCCGTCTTGTACTCTGAGAACACGTCTGCATACAGACACGGCACCGACTCCTCTACTGTAGCATTGAACTGCTCTTAGAAAAGGTGCATCGTCAGCAAAAACGTGAACTTACCGCCGCTTTCTGTACTTGGTTCATCTCTTTTACGATTTGAGTACTCACGGTTTCCCCGCCGGCCCTGGTCGTCTTTCCGTCTCTTCGACATGCTGGCTAATATATCGGCAAAGCTATCCTTTTCCACATACACGTGGGCTGGAATTTCGAAAGTACGCATGCGCAAACGCGGAACCCCGCGCAGAGGAGATGGCTCGTCTAGTGGGACAAGACAGTGATGTGGTGTTGGAGCTAGAATCAGGGGAGACTGTGCTGGGCAGAGGACCGCTTCTGAAGGTCGAGTTCGCACTTTACAATCATTGTTGTATGTAAAGTGGGCGTGGCATTCTTTAGATCGTGGACAAGAGGGTGTCCCGAAGCCATGCCACACTGGAATGGGAGAATGGAATTCTCAGACTCTGCCCAGTGAGTGAGGAACCACTTACCCCCCTATCTCCCCACTTTTTCATTGTCTCTTCATCTTTCCTACCCCACCCCCCATAAAGGTTTTGCAGGCACGTGAGTTAACAAAAGGTCAAACCACCTGTAGAGTTTCGCTGCACTTATCTTCTCATGTCTCGTTGGATAACAATAACAATTTTGCATTTTGGAAGAATTTGTGTGCACGTCAATTACCACCCCTAATAGTCGGTTCCCTCCACCACGTCAATTACCACCCCTAATAGTCGGTTCCCTCCACCACGTCAATTACCACCCCTAATAGTCGGTTCCCTCCACCACGTCAATTACCACCCCCTAATAGTCGGTTCCCTCCACCACGTCAATTAACCACCTAATAGCGTTCCCTCCACCACGTCAATTACCACCCCTAATAGTGGTTCCCTCCACCACGTCAATTACCACCCCTAATAGTCGGTTCCCTCCACCACGTCAATTACCACCCCTAATAGTCGGTTCCCTCCACCACGTCAATTACCACCCCTAATAGTCGGTTCCCTCCACCACGTCAATTACCACCCCTAATAGCCGGTCCCCTCCACCACGTCAATTACCACCCCTAATAGTCGGTTCCCTCCACCACGTCAATTACCACCCCTAATAGTCGGTTCCCTCCACCACGTCAATTACCACCCCTAATAGTCGGTTCCCTCCACCACGTCAATTACCACCCCTAATAGTCGGTTCCCTCCACCACGTCAATTACCACCCCTAATAGTCGGTTCCCTCCACCACGTCTTGTTTGCCTCTTTTCCACTCCAGAAACACAGCAACCCTTGCTTCCTGAGACCAGAGGGGAGGTCAGAGTTCACAACACTTGTCAGAGATGAGTGGGTGGAGCTCCACCATGGCAACCAGATATCTCTGCTGCCAGACAGTCTGCAGTACTCAGTGGAGCTGGAGACCAGCCAGCGGGAGAGAGCCGGCAGCCAGGAACAGAAGGAGAGGCAGAGGGAAGAGAGCCGGGAGCGAGAGACCAATGAGGAGAGAGAAGGCAGTGAGAAAGAAGAGGATGCTGGTCCGGAGAGAGAGGTGAAAGTGGCCACTGGGATGAGCCAGGAAAAAGCAGCCAACCAACATGAGCAGGAGTTGTATGGAGGTGATGATGTCAGTTCAGTGTCTGCAGCAGTGGAGGGTGAGAGGAGATCAGCTGCTGCTGGTACAGGGAGAAGACGAATCCTGCCGTCTTGGTTGAGTGGTGGTGTGGCCACCTCCAGTAAGACTACTGCGTCCTCTCGGGGCTCCTCTAGAAAGACTGCTGGGTCTGGTAGCAGGACTGTGAGCGGTGAAACATCTGGTAGCAAGACTGGCAGTGAACCATGTGGTGGGTCCTCCAGCAACAAGGCCCCAGTCAGGAGGAAAAGGAAACTTTCTCCATCTCCAGATGACGAGGAGACCAGCCCCTCTGCTGCCCAAGGTCAGGATGTCAATGTTTCTTTGATTCAGTCAACATACGCTACCTCTTGCAGCAACTGTGACCAGAGACTCTGTTCCCCAGTCAGTGGGCGGTTCCCCTGAGTCAGGGGGGCCTGCCACGCCCCTCCCTCCCTGTCCCTATGGAGCTGCCTGCTACAGGTAATCAGTTTCCACAGAGGTTAAGGTCTTCAGTGTGCCCCTCTCAGGAAAAACCCCGCCCACTTCCAGGAGTTTTCTCACGGCAGAGTCGATGACAGACCACACTGTCCCTATGGCAACGCCTGCTACAGGTGACCATGGAACAGTTTCCGAGGAATTTCACAGATGAGTTTGTCATCATGTGCAGGAAGAATCCTGAGCATAGGAATCAGTTCCAGCATTCAGGTCCGCCGGCTGAGGGAGCAGCTGCTACCAAGAGAGCCAGGCAAACACGACGGAAGAGAAACAGCACCGGTGTGTGTAGTCGGCACCATTTCTCTAACTCTTGTCTCTCTGTATCTCCTTGTCAGAGGGAGTGATGAGTGTGCTGGCAGGAGGTAGTGACGACAGCGATGGCCCCAACACATATGACTACAACGACAGTTTTATTGATGACAAAGAGCTCAGCGGTGGATGTGAGTAAACCCCTCTAATTATAATAGATCAATCTGGCCACACCCCCTCCCATGTGTCTGTAGCTACTAGTTACGGAGGCGAGAGTGAGGACAGTGACTGGGCTCCGCCCACTCAAGGTGGGGCAGAGGAGGAAGAGGTTGGGGATTTGGTGGACGAGGCCAAAGGCTTCATCTCTAACAAGAAAATGTGGCAACCCTAGCCACACCCACTGTTTGCTCTCTCGTTGTCATGGACACATCCTTCATACATTGTTTTTTAGTTCAACAACAAACATTTTTATAAAATTAATTACACATAAAGTTATAAAATTGGGTGTCATCATCATTCAAGTTTGCATGAACCTGACAGTCATCTTTTCATCCAAGTCAATAGCAGAGAGTACCTGTAAGAGGGAAGAGACAGTGGGTTCAAGAAAGAGTGAGAGTACTCTACCTCAGTTAACTCTGCCAAAGAAATCATGTTATCTTCATCCTTGTCTGCCTCCTTCAGTGTGCGCTTTACAATACAGTTCAGCTGTAGAGGGAATGGATCACTAGTACAGAGGGAATGGGTCACTAGTACAGAGGGAATGGGATCACTAGTACAGAGGGAATGGGTCACTAGTACAGAGGGAATGGGTCACTAGTACAGAGGGAATGGGTCACTAGTACAGAGGGAATGGGTCACTAGTACAGAGGGAATGGGTCACTAGTACAGAGGAATGGGTCACTAGTACAGAGGGAATGGGTCACTAGTACAGAGTGCAGACAGTGATGTGTGGTACCTGTTCGGGAGGTATGTGGAGACCAACCATGGCATGTAGGATATGGTGGAGATCATTCTTAGAGATGGCTCCATCTCTGTCTGTGTCGTATACCTGGAATACAACTGGAGAAAGGATTGGGGGGAGTGAGGAAGGATGGAAGAAGCTCACACTCAATCTTCTTCTCCCTGGAGTTCATGACATGCTCGTGGCCTTTCTTGGAGCTCCGGAACCTTGCCAGCGTCCTCACAAACTGACGGAAGTTCACCTTCTCCACTGACACTGTAGAGTCTTTCCTGCAGGAACCGGGGAGAGAGATGAAGGAAAGTCTCAGAACACACTCACTCATCAGTGAAGAAGGCCTCGATGATCCTGGTGCCCAGAGGGTTAACTGCCAGCTCAGGGATCAACATCAGGTCCTGCCGACTACATACCAGAATGTCTCACGTGACCATACTCACTGCTAGACACTCACAAGAGGTAGCCCTTGCTCCTCTTGTCCAGGTGAGCAAACCGTGAGTACAGTCTCCGTATCTGGTTCTCTGTGACTGCAGAGAGAGAGACAAGTCGTCAGAACTGTCTACCGTCTTCCTGTCTCTGCCTCACAGCCTGTCTCCTCGTGCAGCTGCCGGTACTCCTCGGGAGTTATGAACGACGGAACGTTACCCATTTTTGCTCAGCTGCAATCAACCTTTGGACCTCACACAAACCACACCCCTTTACAACAACGTGAGGGAGGGGCTCGCTCCAGACACACACAGCTTGCAGCTCTCGTGCTGCTCTTTTCATCCAGGTTTGTGAATAGTAGAGAGGGAGAATGGTGAAGACAGGGATAAAGATATTTGCCCGCCTGCGGCCAACCAAGAAAACCACAGGAGTAAGTTGGCAGGGAAAAGAGAGAGATGTGCAGCAGCTGCAACTATTGCAGGTGTACGAGGTGGTCCAGTCCCAAGACGGACTGGAGGCTCTGAGTTTCACTGTGCCGCGCTCTGAGGCCGGCGGCGCCGTCAACAACAGGCGGGAGACCTTCTCCTTCAAGTCAGTAGCAATGTGTGTCCGTGTACTGCCTGTGAGAGTGTCTCCCCCGCAGGTTTTCTCGAGTGTTTGACTCCAATACAGGCCAGGAGGAGGTGTTTGATGCAGTATCTCGAGAAGTGATTGACAAGTTAGTTCCTCTGTGACTACTCACTTACGTCCGTCTCTGTGTTGCAGCTGTTTGGAGGGATACAATGGAACCATCTTTGCCTATGGACAGGTGAGTTCTCCACTAGTGAGGAAAAGACACTAAATCTGTCTACAGACTGGGTCAGGGAAGACATTCACCATCACTGGAGGAGTGGAGAGGTTCGGTGATCGTGGTCTCATCCCTCGCTCCCTCTCTTACCTCTTTCAACAGTACCACAAGGTCTGTGGCACCCTCTTCCTTACCTTCATACAAACCTCTCATATGATGTTTTCAACAACAATCAGTAACACATTCTCTCCTCCCAATTCATCGCTCCAGTCACCAGGCACAATATTCACCACTCACATCTCTTATCTGGAGATCTACAACGAGTGTGGATATGACCTTCTTGACCCCCGACATGAGATGGCTCGTCTGGAGGACCTTCCGTACGTTCCCCACCCACTCTCTCCTCACCCTCTTCCTCTCCATCTCTTCCTCAGGAAGGTGACACTAATGGAGGACAGAGAGTCCGTCCTTCACCTCCGAAACCTCTCTCTCCACCCAGCCAACAACGAGGAGGAAGGTGGGTGTGGCTATAAATTACTAGTGTCATCACACACTATATACAATATGCAGCTCTGAACTGGCTGTTTCTGGGGGACACCAATCGCGTCATGGCTGAGGTTTGACCATAGCTCCAGCATACAATAGACAACATTTCTCTCTCTGGCCCAGACCCCAATGAACATGGCGTCCACAAGATCCCACTGCATATTCACAGTCCACATTTCAGCAAGAGAGCCAAGCTCTCAACTGATCCGCAGAGCCAAGCTCCATCTGGTTGACCTTGCCGGGTGAGCCCCTGGTAATCAGCTGGGAGGATTAGTTACCAGTCTACAGGTCAGAGAGAGTGGGTCGGACTGGTGTGGAGGGGACCCTACTCACTGAGGCCAAGTACATCAACCTCTCCCTCCACTTCCTGGAACAAGTCATTGTGGCTCTGTCTGACAAGTCCCGTTCCCATGTCCCATACCGCAACTCCATGATGACCTCCGTACTCCGAGACAGGTTCGCTCTCTCCCTCTCTACCTCCAGTACCTCTTTCCTTCCGGTTGCAGTCTTGGTGGTAATTGTATGACGTCGATGATTGCCACTTGCTCCGTGGAGAAGAGGAACATTGACGTGAGAAATTTCACCCTCCCACACCCATTTGTACAGAGCTTGTGGTGTGTTTGGTAGAAACACGGGAGACTGAGGTTTTCTATTGCCATAATTATAGTGTTCTAAACACAATGATGTCATGTGTCACAGGAGACCATCTCCACGTGTCGGTTCTCCCAGAGAGTTGCTCTGATAAAGAACGAAGTCAGAGTCAACGAAGAACTGGACCCTAAACTGGTGAGTCGGTCTATCAAGAGAGAAGTCACGATGATGTCATTCTCTCTCTGTCGGGGTCAGATGGTGCGGCAGTTGCGACAGCAGGTGGCAGAGTTGAGGGAGGAGCTGAGTCTGGCCACTGGGGGAGAGGAGAGGGACGGAGACCTGGAACTGGCAGAGAGAGAGAGGTGGGGGCCCATTTACAGTCGGTCTGTACAGAACACAGTAATCTGGAGGCCGAAAGACTTTACTCTGTTTCCTCTGTTTCCTCTACGTGTTGTGGTATTAAGCAAACTGGTGTGTTATTCAAGAACACTGCTGGGAGTCCAATATTAATGTAGTGTGTACTTTTCTTGTGTGTTATGAACGGTATGTAGTCAATGTATTGTCGGACCTACTACAATAACAAGAGAAGGTATGTATTGTCTGCTGTTGTGCAGATGTGAGAGACTGGTTCAGGACTACCTCCAAGACTCCAGTCCGGAGGCAAGACTATTGGTTGGAGGTGACATGAGGAAAATACAACTCTGCTTCTCTCTGCTAAAGGTAATACCATCTCGCACTATAGTGTCCTATACTTTACCTCCACCACAGGCCAGAGTGAAGTCTCCTCTCTTACATACCACGCCAAAAACAGCCACGCCCACTAATCAACCAACCGTGACTGCCGACCCCAGACTAGAGGAAGTGATTCGACAGCGAGATGAAGAAATCAGTATCCTGTCCATCCTCACGACAGCAGTATAAATACCTTATCACTGGGCGGGTGCTTGCACAGAACAGCCTTATATAGACTTCCTTTACAGCACCTCAGATATGCTGCTCAAGACGTTGAAACAAGAGCGGAGGAAAATTGCAGAATTGGAGGCCAGACTCAGGACCACTGCACCAGAGGAGAGAGGAGGAGCGGGAGAAGAAGTGGAAGAGAGGAAAGAAGAGAGAGTAAAAGAAGAAAGAGGGACCGAGACAACAGGGGAACAAGAAGCCGGAGAAAGAAAACAGGCTGAGTCTCGCAAGGCCTGGAAATCAGGTAGAGCCTCCAGATCCCCTCACCTCAGCAGCTGTCGTCTCTGTCTGTCTGTGTGTGTGTGTGTGTGTGTGTGTGTGTAGAGCTGTCTCGTGCCAGACAAGAGGCCTTCGACCAGTTCAGGAGAGACTGTCCCATCATGGACCAGGTCAACCAACACAAGACTGACCTGAGGACCAAGTAAGAACATTGGAAATAGTTTGAGAACATGGTCGTCTTCAAGTTTCGACTGACAAGAAATCTTTTTGTATTCTCTGAAGAAAGTTTGTGTCCCTTCGTCCCAGATATTCAGAAGCCAAAGCTCTGGGTGAGGAAGTGCAGAGCTCTCGAACTACCATCAGTGAGTGGGGGAATCTATGTGCTAGTACCACATTATGACCTACTGTCTGTGTGCTATACTGTTGTTACCCTCGGCGCGCATGCGCAGCGAGGGTACTGTAGTTGGGTTTGTCTGTCTGTCTGTTACTCTCAATCTCACTTCTCGGGTGTCTGTTCGTCCCAGAAACGATACGATCTACCCAATGGGCGGCGAGGGTCAGAAAATATGTGGGGTTTTCTCTGAAAATGATCCGTTGCAGAGCTAGAGCGCTTCCAGCATTGTACCGGTGTCACAGTATATTTTATCCCCCGTATATTTTATCCGGGGGATAGTATATTCTATCCGGCCGGATAGAATACTCTTAGTGTGGAATATCCGGGGTCCGGATATTTTATCCCTCTAATAAGAAAAGTTTCTGCGCATACGGTTGCGCATCTAAACACGCGGGACCATTTTGTTGGCGCCGTCGCTGCTCATGCATACCGACTTGAATCTGCACGACTGCACTCTCTTTCTCTCCGAGACACAGCGGTTGCGCGGGTCTGCTCGCCTTCACCTGCGAACCTGAGCCCCACGCTCGCTGGGATATCCGGTAGTGTTCTACAGTCCGCTGGTGTAACTCCAAACAAGGCTGTCATCGCATTCTGTAACGTTGAAATCCCCCACAGAACCTCAAAACAACACACCCCGCCTGCGTTTCGACACTCCTAATAACGCACAGCACGGGGTATAAAATATCCCGGGTGCGGATAGAATATCCTAGGAAATTTTATCCGGGGGGGATAGAATATCCTATCCGGCCGGATAAAAATTCGGGGGGATGAAATGTAATAATATATACCGCGACACCGGTAGTCGCCATTTTATCGCTGGCGGATAATGCGCATGCGCTTATATTTAGCTCGACCGGGTCCGCTTGCTCTCTAGCTCTGAAGGCACAAGAAGTCACAACGAATGGCGTGTATCGACTCTCGCGTGCTATCTACTACTGTAGCTAGCCCGTGTCAGACTCTCTGCGAGCTACTTCGCCGAGGGTTTGCACTTTAGTGCTTTTCATTTACACTGTTCCCATTCAAGTAATGGTGGTGGTCTGATGGATAAGCACCCCCTTTCTTGATCGTGAGGTCCCTGGTTCGATCCCGGGGGGGTGTGCGCCTTTTTTACAATGACGTAATATATAGGAGTGTTGGTATATATAGGAGTGTTGGTATATATGGAACGTGTTTTCATCACTTCTCCAGGCCAGCCCGAGTGGCTAGGTGGTTAGAGTCGTGGGGACTGACACCATAGGTGCGGGGTTCGTATCCCGATCCCGCACTAAAGTGTCAGGTGGTCCAGAGCATTGGCTGGGAACAGCTCTGGTTCCTCCCCTCCTCCCCTTACCCACAAATCTACCACTGACCCATGTTTCTCAAAGGGCAGCGTACAGTTCGGCATAGCACTGCGTCCGTAGACGTCTGTCTGGAGAGATGAAGGGCTGGCCGTTTTTTAATAATTTTTTTCAACCTTTAGGTTTTTTTTTTTGCACTAAACAATCCACTAGGTAATACGAAAATTAATAGAGAGATGAAAGGGTGGCAATTTTTCAACCTTATATATTTTTTGGGCCTCAAACAGAAATGGGGCTGGCCATTTTTTCAACCTATCCATGGAAATAGTACATATCTTTTTGATGCATGGTCAAGACCATCAATTGT